CAATTTTAAGTTAAAATAAGTTTCTCTTTGGTTGTTACAATAATGTTTATAAAACACATATGTGATGGCAAGGAACTTATAGTAAAATAATTTAATGTGTCTGAGTTTCTGGTTGCATTTTATCAAAATCTGTAGTTAGTTTATGAGTTTTCTATTAGTGCAGTGCTATGATACTACTTGACAATGTGAGAAAATTGTATAAACCACTTTTAGAGTTATGGGTTGTAAAGAGGTTTCAATTATGTCACTCATAGACATGAAGAATCAGCATGTGAATCTCAGCAATGATGACAAAATATTCTGATAATTTTGATGTGATTTTTGAACATCACAAAACAGGGCAGTAAAAAGTCACAACAAAAATAAAAGGAAATAGTAAGAATAAAAGAAAATACTACGCAATGCAATGCAATGCAGCTGCATAATTTATTCATGTCGCAATGCATGCTGGGAGCATTGTTGAGAAAAAGTGCTATATGGCACCTCTTATGGTTCTACATGGCACCATTTGACAAAGGTGCTATATAGCACCTGTAAAAATAGGTGCTAAATAGCACTAAAAGTGGTTCCCCTATGATTACGAGACAAAGAACCGCTTTTAGTGCTATATAGCACCATTTTTTTTTTAGAGTGTGGTTGTGTTGGTAGCACGCTTGTTCCTAAGCTGTCCGGTCGTTATTGAGAACATGTTGCTGATTAAGCTTTTCAGGTAATGGCAACATACTCGTTAGGTCATCTGGTTAATGGCAACATGCTTGTGGCTATGGCTTATGCGGGTTTCAGCAACATTCTGTTTTCTTTCATTGGGTAAGGGCTACATGCTGTTGCTTAAAGGTCCCATGGCATGAAAATTTCACTCTATGAGGTTTTTTAACATTAATAAGAGTTCCCCTAGCCTGCCTATGGTCCCCCAGTGGCTAGAAATGGCAATAGGTGTAAACCGAGCCCTGGGTATCCTGCTTTGCCTTTGAGAAAATGAAAGCTCAGATGGCCCAATCTGGAATCTTCCCTTTATGTCGTCATACGGGGAAAGGTTACCTCCCCTTTCTCTGCTTTGCCCGCCCAGATAATTTGGCCCGCCCATCATGGGACCTTTAAGGCTTTGAGATTTCCGCTGTCATTTTGTGTCAGGGGACATGGCATATGGTTTCGTTTTGGGGTTATTGCTGCTCTCCCTGGTCTTATCCATGCTAGACTATATGGATGCACTTGGACAAGGACGTAGATTTGCTTTTGACATTGGTGGGGACATAAACCCCATTTTGGGGGATATTTCAGCTAACAGTTTGCTTTGCACATTCAGCTGAACAACATTCCACTCACATGGTTTTCCATAAACTCACATTATATTTGTGCCAAATTATGCTGTAAGATTGTGTATCTTTCAGCACAACCTTTGTCTTTCTGTCAATATGCTTTATATAGAGAGCTAATAATAGCCTTAGATTGTGCTTTATCTTTCCGTTTGATCTGTTTTGTCAAACACTGTACTTCAAACTCATCAATGCAACTTTGTTAATTCCTGAAGTGAGCTTTTATATTAACTGTTGTGGACTGCTGTCTTGAACTGGGTGCGATACCTGTGAGTTGTTCTAAACGCGGCTGTGTTTCTCCTCCGGTGTGCGACTACGTTCTTACTCCGCCAATGTATTAAATATGCGTTCGTGAAAGCGCGCAGTTTTCAAACGTATTTACTTTAACTTCTTAAGTAATATCAATGGTATGACGTTTCGAATGAGAGAATGAATCATATATTATGTTGGGTGTCCATATTAGAGATAATCACCATGTTTAGAATTAAGGATGTAATGATTCACTCAACTCACGATTCAATTCAATTCATGATTTTGATTTCATGATTCGATTCACGATTTTTTTTTTACAAAATGAGATTTAAGACAAATTATAAATTAAATGTGTCCTTTTATTTTTGCTTGGACAAAATGCTGCACGTTTCTTTGTCCAAGCAATA